GTCAATAATTTTTTGAATTTTAGAATGTTAAAGTTCATGTGTAAATAAGTTTTGATCTCGAATCTTGGACCGTGCTGGTTTAGTTTTAATCCACAGTGGCCACTCCATTTAAACGACAAATTCATAACGTTGCCGTTGTTACTTTACAATTGTACATACATAAACACTCACGCCTGTCACCCAGAGGGGTAGGCGTGAGTGTTTATGTATGTACAATAAAATTAACAGCAAGAAATATCAAAAATAGTTAAAAACAAGAAATATACAAACAACAATTAACAACGAGGTAACACTACAACAAAAATAAACTAATTATAAAGTTATCACTAAAATTGCTCTCAAGTGTACGGTAGTCGAATGATATGTGCGAACCCAATACCTAGACAACGAGAATCGGCTGACGAACCAATCCCGTTGAGCGTCAGCGTGGTCAACGTCATATCGACCAATAAAAAGTGTGCTCACGACTAATGTTTGACCACAATCTCATAGTAGTTGTTATATTTATCACAAGAACGTTAAGAGGATAGAGTAAGTCAGCTCAAATTCTAATTTCGCCCCCACTTGCCCGCGCGTCGTATGCTATGTACCGATATGTTTGTAATCACTAATACTGTAAGTAGAAAGGTCGTTAGACACTTATTTCATTAGGTTTATCATATTTATGCCTGTTTCTTAACCAGTTCCAAGCCAGCCGCTTCTTATTTTTATCACGGTTATTTCCCATTTTAATTTTACGTCGTACTGTTGCGTAATGTATAATTCTGATCGTAAGCGACACAACTTCTCCCTTCAAAAGCCTAAGCGATACTAACGGGGCGACTGGAATCAAGCTCAAGAGCTCAAGACGCCGATAGTTTAGGTAATTTCTTTTTACAGTGAAAATAATGGTATTTTAAAAAAAGTAAATAACATAAGCACTGCTTTATAGTTAGTTCAGTTAGTATGCAAAGTTTCATGATCTTATTTAAAGTATTTTATTGAATAACAGCGGTTTATTGTTTATTTTGGAGGTAACTTTGGATTTTTTTTCTACCGAGAAAATTTTACGAAATCGTGTTTGTGTCTAACATAATCATTAACATTAATCCTCAACTTTACCATATATTTATTTCAAAATTAATGCTGCAATATTTTCGGCATAACGAAGGATCTTGCTATACCATTTGACATTATATTTCCCCTTAAAAATCATCACTGCTGTTTTTAGTTGCACGCTTTAATTCCTCCCTCTCCTGTCCAACATCGGACGACCAGGCGGTCGGCGAGTCTTCACCCCTTTATTGTTGATATTTGACGCATCAGAACCAAAAGGCTTACTTCGAATTTTTTAATGCGTAGGAGCAAAGGAATGAAATAATTTGCCGGCGTCTATCTTTCCGCCCGAATACAATCTAGGCGTCTTCAAGGCACGAGTGAATAGGCTTTTGTTACGCTAAGACAGTGCGATTTACCATCTAAGGCTGCATCACTACTTACCACCAGGTGAGATTGTGGTCAAATAAAAAGAAAGAGATAAATCTTATAAAAGGTAAAAGAAAGTTACCCATTTTGAGAGTCGTGTGCACAGTGCAACTAACTTTTTTTCTAGACACTCACATTTATATCTTTCTAGTAATCGTTTTTATATAGTTTTTTTTATTCAATCGTTTTTATATTAATTACATAGAACTTTATTAATTAAAAAGAACCTACCTCTATTGCATAATGTAGCAAATCTATTTCTGTACAAAAAATAAAATTGCAGCGTCTGTTTTTAATGTTGAAATAACAGCTTTTTATTAAATGCATATGAAAGTATATACGATAACTATAACATAAAAACATTTTTTTAAAATTTTTGTCTGTATGCCCGTCCGTTTGTGTGTCTGTTTGTTTGTTTCGGTTAATAACCGAATCTACTGGATTGATTTTGACGGGACTTTTACTGGCAGATAGCCAATGTAATAAGGAGTAACTTACGTTACTTTTATTTAAAAAAATGTATGGCTTCCGCGCCAAAAATGAAAACCCATGAAATTCGATCGTAATAAATTCCACGCGACCGAAGTCGGCTAGTACGATGTATAAGGTGTGAATGTAGAATGAAGTGGATATATACAGCAACAACTATAGTGTACACTGATAGACATTGTTCTACTAATAAACCAATTAATACTGGCATCCCACAAAGGTCTACGCTTCTGAAATTTGAGAATTGACAACAATGCTATGCAGGCTGCTGTCTGCGTGGCATTCGGTAGACACGTAATGAGAATACCCAACGGACTCCGAACCAGTATAGTGGAATTAGGTTAGTTTGTAGACAAGACATATTTTGTAATTCCAATAAATGTTTTCCTGATTGACCGATTTGTACCGTAGTTGTAATACACTTTAGTGTAGCTCGAACACTTTTAAATGTATGTAAAATAACGGAATTTTCTAAAATTTCTTACACCTTATCCTACAAAACGTTTCTTTAACGTGGTAGAGCCAAAGGATAAGGGTGATAAATGAGCACACAGTCCATCTGATGGTAAGTGGTTGGTGCACACATGGACATCTACATCCATCCTCGATTACGAACCAAAATGCTGATGCGTTGTCATTTGTGAGGACTAAGATGGAATGCCTTGTTTCCAGTAAAAAGTGTATCAGGTTCTCTACACTTACAATACGAAACACAGCAGCGTTAAGTTGCTATTTTACGCTAGTATCCTATAAGAGCGTGGTACTTCCTCTGTCGTGCCTATCCATTCGGGCTACAACTATACTATTAATAAAGCTGCAGCATAGCTCTACCACGTATGCACGAATTGTGAACTACGGTTGTAGACGCAGGTTCGGCCTCGTATGGAATACTGTTTCCATCTCTGGGCTGGGGCTTTTCAGTGCCAGCTCCTTCCACTTGACCGCATCCAGCGGAGAGCGACTCGAATCGTCGATGACTGAGTGCTTACCGATCAGCTCGATTCACTGGCGCTGCGAAGAGATGTGCATCCCTTTGCATTTTATTTCGCATCTACCACGGCGAGTGTTCTGAGGAATTATTTGGATTAATCCCTACCGTCAAATTACATGAACGCACATCGCGGCAAACCTCCCGATACCATCCACACCATCTGGATGGTTGGCGGTCCACCACTGTACGTTTCACCAGGAGTTTTCTTCCACGTACGACCTCTCTGTGGTTTACCACCGGCGATTTTTGCGAACCGATACGACTTAGGGCCGTCAAGAAGAGAGATTACTACTTTCTAAAAGGCCGGGAACGCACCTGCAATTCCTCTGGTGTTGCAGTTATTTATGGGCGGCGGTAGTAACTTAACATCAGGCGAGCCGTATGCTCGTTTGCCCCCTCTTCTATAAAAAATACCAGCGTAAAATAGCAGCTTAACGATGCTGTGTCCAGTGATGTAGAGAACCGGAGAGCCTTTTTACTGGTTACGAGGCATTCCATCTTAGTCTTCAGGTGTGATAATGAAATGAGACGAAAAATGGTATATGTCTATGGGCCACTAATTCTATAAAAAAGGTAAGATATTAGTGACCAACGAGTTCGTAGAAAGCTCTTACTTCAAGTTTTAATCAAACAACCTCAGATGAAGTAAAAAAAAGACTTCATCTGAGCAAACAACGATTACCGAACAGACAGGAATATTGACTGTGTGTGATTATATTAAATGCTAGAGAAATGTTACGGCTACCGATAAATCATCCCCTTTACACCAGCCGTAAAATATCCAGTCTAGCACGTGATAGGTCCGATACTTCCATTTGATATCGTCAATCCATCTTTTTTAATGAATAAGGACGTTAATCAAGCACACAATTCACCCATTGGTATGTATATATTGTGACCCATAAATACCTTTACCTTAATAAAAATAAAAATGCAGATGCGTTGTCTCCACTGAGGACCAAAATGGAATGCTTCGTATCCACTAAAAAGGGTCGCCGGTTCTCTACACTATCGTCTCTGTACGCAATACATTAGCGTTGAGCTGCTATTTAAAGGCGTCTGATAAACAAATTCGCCCTAAAATTGGAGAGATCACGTCCCGCGGGCTGATGATGTCAGTAGTTACATTGGTTTTTTTTGGAACACAATTGCTTAGTCAGAGGCAGAAATAGATAGAAAGGTAACGTCATAACTTGGCAGAATCTCCGTTACAGTAAAATGTTTTGTTAAAATAAAAATACGTGTGGCACTCGGTGACTGCCGCGGTAAAGCTATTGCATGGCATTTTTTATCAACTTATGCAATTATAATTATTTATTTATTTTATTTATGCAGTTAAGTCTTTGATATTAAATCAAGTTACACTTTTTGAGCGTGGTGACCGATAAGGAAACAATTTTTTTTCTCTTATTGAATAAATGAAAAGTTAATATTGTTTAAAATATTTTTAATATCTTACAATACATGTAGGTTATTCAGGAATTTTTATCATTGAGCTAGCAGCTAGTGTACACGCATACGTCTTGTCGCACGCACCGAAACACCGTGCCGAACTCTGCCGAGTGCCGAAGTCTGCCGAACTGAAACGACGTTAGACGATGCACGGCTTTCAACGCCACACCTCCGTGCCCGTCGGAGTGGGGAGCGTGAGGTTTTTTCGTTACGGAATTTCTGGATTCGGTCCCCGCGCTCAAGGCCCGCGATAGAAGCTATGCAATAGCTTAAAAATAACTATTTTGTCAATTACGCATATTCATTTAATTTATTATCAACTAGCTGATACGGCAGACGATATTCTACAACTCCAGGTCAAAATGACAAACTTAAAAAAGGAAAAACATAATCCTTTTTTACTTTTCCATAATTGGATAAAAAGTTAGTTGTTACACACGGTCATTTACTATCTACATACAAAATTTCATGGAAATCTGTCTGGTAGTTTTTCCGTGAATCGTGAACATACAATTATTCTACAGATTTATTATACGTAAAGATTAACTTGCAGTTCTTTTAATAGAAATTAAACAAATACACACGAATTTTTACCAAAATTTTATTATAAAGTAATTTTTTGCTTATTAACATCGCTGCCGTATAAATGAACTCGGTACACGCAAGTGTACTTCGTGTTTCCCTGATTGGACAGAACTTTAAATGCCACACTTGTGACGGGTTCATTTCTGCCGCTTAATGCAAAATATTGTTTAGCTGGCTTGTTATATGTGTAAATGCCACGTGCGATTTCCAACCGCGTGTTATTCTCAAATGTGCCCTGTAAGAATATTTAGGTTTTGGTTATTTTAGTTTATGGATAATTAGTCATATATTTCAATAACTAGCTTTTTATCCGCGGCTTTGATCGCGGCCTTTCAATTTAGGAACATCGGTAAATGCTGTTCTGTGACAAATTTAAGAAAATTTGATCACTTTTAGAATCACCTCGGTGTCTTTTTTATAGGATAGGGTGACAAACGAGCACACAGTCCACCTGATGGTAAGTGGTTGCTGTGGCCCATAGACATCTACATCTATCCTCGATTACGAATCAAAATGGAGATGCGTTGTCACCCGTGAGGACTAAGATGGAATGCCTCGTTTCCAGTGAAAAGGGTCTCCAGTTCTCTATAATCACCATACGTAACACAGCAGCATTAAGCTACTATTTGACGCTGGTATTCTGTGAAAGCGTGGTCCTACCCCGGTCGAGCCGACCCATTCGTGCTACAACTATACTACTAATATAACTGCAGCATGGCTCTACCACGTATTGGTGTCTGGGTCTCCACGTCTGTTTGTTAAAGATTTTTTGTGAATTCTCAAAGATTATTGTACATAGATAGTTGGTATTTGACATGGATATAATATGCTATAAGAAAATGTAAATAAATATGTTAAATAGAATAGCATTCTTGTCATATGTCTAGAAACACCTACTATTTTTTGTAACGGGCCTGTCTTCTATGTGTCGCGTTAGTTACATTTCACTCTTTTCATTCTTTCGTAATTAAAGTTAATTTAATTTTAACAAAATGTTGATCCATATTAACTACGTAACCGAACATATCGCAGATGTGAAGCACCGACACCCCGGGAAGTATGTTAACGTGTTCAGTATCTTGCCAACCTTTATATGAAATTTAATAGACCACAAATCCTCGCAAAAGAATATCGATGCCTAGGAAGATTCGCGAATCTATTGAAATTAAAAAAAAAACATCCCAATTGCTATAGTGGAGATGACTGGGTGTTACCATCTGTTTGGTATCCCATAATTAATAAAATTAAATGCAAAATCCAAGCATATTACTGTAACATTTTAAGACACTGTAAGCTCGTTCTGCATAGACCGAACCAAATATAATTAAAAGTTGAGAGTAGCCGTCGTTAACTATGACAGCAGGATATTGAATACCTCAGACCTCCCCGTAACCACGAGTACTGTAGTGTCCGAACCCTCTGGAGTTAAAAAAGTTAAAGTTAAACGTGACAAAATTCTCAGTTTCAAAGATGTTCAGTGAATGAAGGTATCATCACTTCTTCACTTCGTTGATTGGCTGCAACGATGACGGTGATGAGTTCTACTCATCTTTGCTACCCTTAATATTTACGATAGAATGAAAACAATAAGCAAAATTTCCGAAAATATGAATGAAATAAAAATTGTATAATTGCCTAACTATAAGTAAAAATAGTAGATCTCTATTTATTGTTTTGGTCAAGCTTTATCATGACATGGTCAACAACCAGTGCTAAATATTATCACGAAATTAAACTAATTATTAATAAAAACTAAATATTATAAATTTAAGTAATTATAATAAAATGTATATTTTTTTTTTAAATAGAAGTATGTTTTAGTAATTATGGATATTGTTGTTAAAATGTATGATTTTTTTCTTTTCTTAGATTTTTAAGCAATTTAACTAACAACGATTCTATAATAATGTTATGTTACTAACCAATTTATGGACTCTTGTCTGAAATAAAGATTATTATTATTATATATAAACTATTTCACGAAATGATAGACTACTCGCGATGCTGGATGATATGATCAGTTCTTGCTACGAGTATCAGTTTGCACGCTATTTACAACCACGTAGCAGAACATGTCGTGCTTTAAGTATTGTACAATCCTTATCGGTCCGTGTTTTAAGCAAATATATTTAATAAACAAATAATAACTAAATACGATCTGGTCACGACTTAAATAATAAATATCTCTGATCAAACTATAAGGATAATGAGAATTTCCCAATACATAATTGCAGGCAGACCAGTTTTAATCAGCTTACATATAGATTAATAATAATAGCACTAATCATATTTATGATAGAGGTCGCTATTATTCATGGACGTACATGCTAACTAATAAAATTATTACACTTTTAAAATTAAATAAAGAAAAAAAAAATAAACGTTAGGATTTTTAAATTCTTCATCTAATTCTTCCAACATATCAAATGTAATTTATAGAATATATTACTTAATTTATTAGTAACTAAACGCAAAATGTACTACTTTTACATTTGATGATAGATTGCGCTTTTTTTTTAAAACTAACACGTAGTTCGTCGGTGTAGTTTCAAATTATTACTTAAGGATGAAACTAATTTTAAACTTTATTTATAAATATGGTATCTATTTGAAAAAAATAAACTCGTCATTCCACCTATAACTAACAAAATAATCATATATAATAAAAAAATAACATCCAAGGGAAGGAAAATACTTATCGTTCTTTTTTGAAGTTCCGTAATCTTATAAAAATTAGCCTATAAATTGTCCCGAGTTACTAACTACCTACATACAAAATTTCATGGAAATCGTTAGATGTCAGACAGACAGACATACATAAATTCTAAAATCCCCAATTTGGCTTCAGTACCCTTTATTTCGTCCACTGGACTTGTTTTTTCAAGAATATAATAGAATTACAGACACGACATTTCTACAGATTTATTGTATGTATAGATTTTTGTTTAATTATTTATTAAGGTTTACCAATCTTTGATTGCACTGTATTTAACAAAATGGCTTAAGAACTAACTTACGTAGCTAAGTGTAACAATCGTTTAAGGTAAACACCACTTGCAACATAGACAAGGAAAGTTCGCTATATGTAATAGTTAGGTAACTTTCCCTGTCTTGTCCGGTAAAATAGTAAAATTTTCTCTTATTTAAGGCTGTTATAAGTTAAAAGAAAATATAATCACATTGCTGTACCCGTACTCTAACTTTGCCTCAGAAATGGGTCAGCAGGTGCCTTTGTATACTCAGGTCTTAGTCAGGTCATAAGTTCTATCGTAAGCTTTTAATAAAATTAATGATACACTTTTTGATAATTATATAGAAATTGTATATAAAATAAAAGGTAATTTAATTAAGAACATAATTTTGTTTACATTATTCAAAATGCCCTCCCCTATTTTGAATACATGCCCTTAATCGACGCGGCCAATCATCAATCGCAGCACGTACCACGCTCATATCTATTTCTGCCGATGCTTTAGCCAAAGATGCTCGGAGAGATTCCTAATTCTGATGAGGTTTAGAGTAGACTTTCTCCTTCAAATGTCGCCATATTTTTTAATCCAGTGGCTTAGAAGAGCGCCAGCCTTCATGTCCGATAAAGTCAATTCCATGGGCGGTCAACCAGTTTTGCGTGCTTCGTGCCCTATGAGCTGGTGCAGAGTCCTGTTGGAATATCCAGTGTCTGTTTTTGAACATTGTTTGAGAAAGAGGTTCCACTATGATTGTTAGGACGGTATTTTGGTACACCTCGGCACTGGTTTTTACACCTTTTTCACAGAAAAAGTTGTAAAAACCAGTTAAGCCTGAATATGAGACTCCAAGTAAAACCATGAAGGACAGAGGATGATGTGCTCGATGAACTCTCGGAATACGCGTGCTGGCTTCTTCACTGATGTGTGCATACACCTTATCATTTTGTTTATTATAGCTTTCTTCGATGGTAAACTTTTTTTTCATCCGAAAACAAAATTTCGCGGTATTTATTTGCGGCGTACCGCTGTAACAAAGCGCGGAATCTATCCAGCCTAATTTTTTTTCAAACGCTAGTTCAAAAAATGTCCGGTCTTCTTACGATAAGCTCGTAGTCTTAGATCTTCATTGATCACTCTTTTGACCGTGGTCCTATTTAGGCCCATCGAAGAGCTAAGATTTTTTTGTTTACGAACAGGATTTCTTTGGGTTTGCGCCTTCACTGCTTTGATGATCGCGGGTGTCCTAACTGTACCAGGTCGGTCGGTCTTCTAACGATCTTCGAAGCTTGAATCTTCAGTAAATCGTTTGAAAGTGCGATAAATAAATCGTAGGGTTATTTTTAACTTTTGTAGAATATTGAAAATCTCTTTTGGCGCGTAACCACAGCGGTGCAACGCGATAACCGCTACTCTATTTTTCTTTCTTCGACCACTCCATATTTGAAAATGAACGAAAATTAATGTCTTTTTTATTTTCGGCAAGCGCAAACGTTATATTTTTAAAATTGGTGAAATTCATCTTCAAAAATCATTTATTTAAAAATTCATCATCAAAAATTTTAAATAATAAGGTTTTGACAGAACTTATGACTCGACTAAGTACAATTATTTTTCATTTCGAACTTATACTAATCAAACTACTGTACATAACTAGTAATTAAAACGCAGTTTAATGTACATAAATAAATGCGACTATTACAATGGATGCAATGAGGAATGAGATTCCTAATTATATAATACTGTTACGAGCTTGAGGTTCGTGACAATAAAAATTGCCGATAAAATTACCTAAATTAACACTTTAATTTACTTTACACAAATTAAAACTAAAAACACTAATAATTAAATACACTAATTCACTTAATTCCGCTCCGAAGCTTCGCTTGTGTTGGCGAGTTCAACTCTGCCCGATCGCATCTTGCAGCGCCTACTTATATAAATTAGCAAAATATCCATAATGTTCAAGTAAACACGCGCAAGGTACCGAGAGTTCGAGTTTTAAACTTCAAGAAGTTTAGTTCTTCGGTTCGAGATTAGATGGCGCTAGTGCGCCGATTTTAGCGCGTAACAATACTAATTAATTATGAATTATGAGAAACAGTCTCAGGCTTCGTTCAAAAATGGAACTTTTGAAGAAGAGTACGAAATAGTCATTTTCTGAGCTAACCTATCCTTATTGTATAATTTGGTAGCTCTACCTAATAAGACAAAGTTTAATAAAATGTTAGTAACAATTAATTTTTATAGTGCTATCTTTAGATAACTTGGATATTTTTAGATAATAAATAACTATGATATTTTAAGAATTCTTTGCAGCCTTTATACGTGGTAAAGCCATGCTGCAGCTACATTAGTATTATAGTTAAATAGTTTTAACACGAATGGGCTAGCTCGACCGGGGAAGTAACATGTTCTCACAGAATACCAGATAAAATAGCTGCTTAATGCTGCTCTGTTTCGTATGGTGAGCGAAGAGAACCGCAGACTCCTTTTACTGGAAACGAAGCATTCCAGTTCAATCGTAGTCGAGGATATATGTAGATGTCTATGGGTCACAGTAACTACTGACCACCAGGTGCACTGTGTGCTCGTTTGCCACCCTTATCCTACAAAAAAGCCTATAAAAGTTCACTGCTAAATAGGCCTCCTCTACAAATAGACTTGTATTTAAGTTTGCCATATTTTGGAGTGATTTTGTCAAAGACGCCACGCTTGACTGGCGCATTGGCAACCGCAGTTTTTATAACTTTGAGTTGTTATTACGAACATGCTGCTGCCCCTCCTCTGTTCCAGCTTCCCTCAGTCGCCTCTACCACCACAGGGCGATATGGGGTAGTGGATATTCTCACATAGCCTCAACGCGGTTAGAATTGAACAGATAAACTGTTTTAACAATTAAACTGTTAGAAATGCTATCTTTTTCAACGTTTCTTTTTAATTTTAGGGTACCTTCGTAAATAATTAAAAATAATGATTCAAGTTATATAACTTGTTTAACGAACCTGAGCGGGTTTATTAAGATGTTAGTGCTTATTATTGAGCTAATGCAACTTACGTAAACGACGAAGTTCTTAGGCGCGCTGCGAGCTGTATCGGGACGCACGTGCTCTATACTGATATAGTTTAGCTTTGCTTTATGTGCTAACTCGATAATAACTTCGCCGTATGATCCGCTGTTGACGGAAGTTTAGAAGCATAAAATGTGTAAAGTACTTAAAGTAATGTAAAAATTTAGAGAAAATTTCGAGTTAAAAACTGAAAACTATACAATGTTAATATTTGTGTTACATAATAGTAGTAACCAGACCCTACTTTTGAAATTGTGAAATTTGAACTTAAGCTCAAAATTATCTCTGAATTGGTCATATTGTTAAAATATTTATTTACTTAACTTCATACAACGTAATACTAAATGACTTAGGCATTCTCTACTAGTTACTCTATAATGGCGATTTTTGTGTGAGTGGCGAAATTGAATCCATCATCTTATGCCACTGCGCGAGCGTCATAAAAGTCGACGTAAAAATTTTATCTTTACGTCGACTTTATTTTATATAGAAATCGATGTATTTAGTCGAGTAGTGAAATAAAAATCTTCAAATCTGCAGATATAAAGTATCTCATAGATGACGGTGGCTTACTAGGTATGAGGCGTTTAGGATTACGATTGTAAATTTGTCAAGTGCGGGAATTACAGGAAATTTAACTTCGATCTACAATGTCCGTGGGTGGACTGTCATAGGCTGATGGTGAAGTATGAAATTGTGCGTTTGTAAATGATTAATAAATCTTTGACGTTAATACTTATTGTGAGCAGAATAGTGAAATAAAATTCAATCTCTCATAATTTTGGTTACCTGTGCAGGATGTATGATAGCCTCGTAATTATCAACACAAATGTAGGGACGCTTGCCTTGAAGTACTACAGATATTTTGCATAACTGATACCACGTTCTCCTAGCCCATTTCAAATATGGCTAATGCTCCGAATATCAGATGTTATCAACCTCGTAAGTAAGTACATAATATTATAATTTTCTTTTCTAATTAAATATCATATTATACAATTTGAATGTAATGCCCACACCGTAGTAGTAAATTACTCCGTCCAATTGGCTGTACGATTGATGGTAAAACTACATTCTCGAAAATGTGTAATAAAATTGTTATACAATCAACTAAACTCAGCTCTCTCGTGCGCCTTAAATATCATAGCACACGAGCAAACTAGCTCCAGTCATCGCTGGTATCACTGAAATTGTTGAGTGTAATTTTTAGTGTTGATTTACCACATGCTCAGTAGAAAAAACATTAAAAACCTAAATACTAGAGAAATTAAAAAAATCTAGGTCACAGCTAACATGCGTTGAGGCTGCAATAGGGAATGTTGTCAGAAAAAAACAATCCAAATCGTTTGAGCCGTATCCGAGAAACGCATATGATATATATGTATATGTAATACCTAAACATATACTTATTGTAATAAAAACCCTATGGTTCCCGTTAAATGCGTTATCAGAACCAGTATTCAAACTTATAGAAATAACTACTTACTTACTTTAAAACTGGATCATAATGCAAATTGACGTATTGTATACAATTTGAACAAAATATTATACAATTTGAATAACATAGTGTACAATTTGAAAATAATTATTTATTTAAATTTAATTTGATTTTTTATGGTCCAGTTTTCTGAAGTCAAATTATTTCTAAACGTTTGAGTACTGCTTATGAAAACGCACTTAACGGGAACTACATGTTTTTTATAACATGTTGTATATACAATAATAGGTCAATTAAAGTATTGGATGAAACGGCGGAACCTATTGTACTGAAATAATAGAACAATAATAGAATTTTGCTATCGTTTATAGTGTCAAAGGTAACGTGATTCACCTAAAAGGCCAGCAATCGGATGGCGTTGGCGTCCGTAATGCCAATATGGTGTCTGGTGGGGGCGAAGCGCGCCACAGTGGCACGACTCCCCAGAGAGATACACGCCAACCCCATTCTGTAGTGTCGCTGCCTTTTGAAGCTTTCGACCCCTCTACATAGCCCCTTTGCAGTACGCTTTTGTCGTCAGTGTATTCTGCAAATAGTAAGAGCGCACATTACACACATTAGTGATGTAAAAGCTAGCTATTCTTGGAACAGCAACTCAGTAGAAAGTTTATTAAAAAGGTTTTTTAAAAATTCAACAATATTTTACTAGATATTTTCGCATATTTTAAGCCGACTCTTGCGTGCACTTCTAGTTTAAATTTGTTTTATATTTGTCCGCATTCTATGTATGATTGTCGAGATATTCAATAGCGTTTATAAATTCTGAACGTGGTAGATAATTAAAGATTTATGAAGACAGTTTTAATTACTTTCAGGTTTTGTATGACTGCTTTTCACATCATAGGTAAATGAATATATTATGGTTACGACCGTGATATATTCATTAATTATTAAAGTACAAATCCATTAATACGCGTCTTTGGAGTATGAAAATCCGCGACTATGTTTACGCTAGACTTAAAATACCTAGACCGGTGACGGGTACCAACGACAAAGGTGCGAAACGTCGGTTACTGCTTTATGATTATAATTGTCAATTCGCCAGCGAATCGCGGCGATTATAGCCTATTTAACCTTACAAAAGCAGCAGCCCCCGTCATATCCTATAGTGGACTTTTGCGCACTTAACAGGACATTTAGAATAAAAAAAATATAATAATTATTTATTATATAAATTATAACATATAATATATAATAAAATATATTAATTAATTAAAAATATAATAATAAGAATAATTAATTAAATGACACTTCTCATTCAGTCTCTTTTAATTTTATCACTGTTTCAAAAAAAGTTCTTTTCGGACAAGAATAAGCAATAACCCCAGAGAGACTTTTTTCAAAGTGAAATCAGACAATAAAATAGAGATTGTACAAATTACTTGCAAAATGTATTTAAGAAACAGCTTGGTAACGATCATCACACTGCCAGGGGTTATTATTAACTATGTATTTCACAACTAAAGATTGTAGATATCTTTTCAATTTAAAACAGGAGTAGGCCAACATTGTGGCAAAATATCCAGAAATATAACAAATAATTTTAATGATTCTATAATAAAAATAATAAAAAATAAGAGTAAGGTTTACAGCCTTTATATGTCCCATAACTAAGCACAGGCCTCTCCTATCATTTCTGAGAAGGTTAAGGAGCTATTAGTCTGCCGCGCTTCTGCAGTGCGTGTAGACAAACTTCACGTTTCTTCGAAATAGTATAAGGGTAACAAACGAGCACACATTCCATCTGATGGTAAGTGGATACATACATAGACATCGACATTTATATCCTCAATTAAGAATCAAAATGCAAATGCGTTGTCACCACTGAGGACTGAGATAGAATGCCTCGTTTCAATAAAAAAGGGTCTCCGGTTCTCTACACTCACCATACGAAACACAGCAGCATTAAGCTACTATTTTACGTTGGTATTCTGTGAGAGCGGGCTCCTACCCCGGTCGAGCCGATCCATTCGTTCTACAACCATAATATAGCTGTAGCGTGGCTGTACCACAAACCATTTTAACGTGTTGCAGAATTTATAATCATACTAGGTATCTTATAGAATATATTTTTACGCTATTAAAACTGTTCATCTTATGAAAGGCAAAAGTAAAATCAAAAATAAGTAAACAAAAACCGCAGTACATGTGGTAAATATCAAATATTAGAAATGCATTTCTGAAAAAACGATGGCGCTATTCGAAACAATATCGATAACCTATACGACTATACGAAATCTCTATCTATAACAGCACAACCTTAAAATTATAGAGAACTACTAATGTTCACTAAGATGAAAGTGTTCCGCATCATCATAATTACCATATCTGTAAAAAATACATATTTGCACTTCAGAGTATTTTAGATTGATCTACCATATCTGTAAAAAATACATATTTGCACTTCAGAGTATTTTAGATTGATCTACCATATCTGTAAAATACATATTTGCATAGAGTATTTCTAGTGTTCTCTTTCTACCAATCTTTAGATTGGTTTTGCTTTCAATAACTTTGGAATACTTATAGTTTTTGAAAAACCTTTTCGATCGACGACAATCCGCTGAAGATTTTTATTGTGAAATGTCGCAATTTATTTTAATGAATTCTATACTTTACATGTAGTACTATGGAGTACTACATGCAAAGCAGTATTTTATACAGGCAAAGGAGTATACTTTGGGTTAGGAAGTTAAGGATTAACAAATAAATGACAGTAATGATAATGAGTGTATAACAAAAAAGGAGGCGCACGTAACACGCTTCGAGCACAAGCTGGAGTAAAATGTAAGCTCATTAAAAGACAACAACAAAATCAAACGACAACTACTTTGGAAAATTATCGCTTGCAGTCGCAACATATCTCAATGAAAATGTACTATAATAATCTACTGCTGGACATATGCTGCTGGTTGGGCAGACGTATCGCACCTTAGATAATGCTCCTTATCATTGGTTTGGTTATGTAAGATGGGGCGGTCTGTTAAGATGGTTACCTCTATGGAGTGTAGAACTAAGGAGTACCAACTCCAATAGGAGAATAATTGAAAAAGTGTCCATCTGTAAGCAGTAAATAACAGTTCAAAATCTCTCCACAACAGCGCTCGAGTAGCTACGGGGTATGTAAAATCGCCGTGAAATACGTTAAGAGTGATTTTGAAAATAAAAATTTTGAAAGCAATAAAATAATTATTGTAAAAGGAATTATGGTGGAAGTCTGTGAAGGAAAAAATTATAAAAAGTTCTTTAAAATTTTGACTGTAGCTACAGTGACGCCACCCTTATTTAACGCTTTCCTACGGACACTTTTTTATAGAGAGTCTGTACTCCTTACCGCTACACTCCATAGTTACCTCGTTATTTCTTTGCAGTCACAAGACTTTTATCTCTATAGATAACAGCTATACCTAAAGAGTCTCCTAAGTTGTCTCTCGCTATAACTTATGTTTAATTCAATATAATAATATATAAATTTAACTTAAATTAAATAAATGCTTCCTCATAAAACTTAATACTAAACAAAACACTGTACCTGGTATGGACATTTGTGTGGTTTGCATTAAATTACGTCGTAGACGTAATGCGCTCCTGCAATTATAAAAGAATTTTATGCAATTCTACGGTCGAAAATAATTAAATTCATGTGTTTATGCTTCTACCGAGCACTGTAATGAAAACTTGACTTATTACCTAAGTGCCTGTTGAGCTCGTGACAATTCCGTGGCTAGGTGTCTCATCCTGTGGCAGCACTCCGCGTCGACAGATGTCGAGTAATCCATACTCACTGCATAAATTACGAACGTCTAGCTAATTAACCCGTCATTTACTAAGTAATATGTTGTTAGAGAACGTTAAATCAAAATATAATCCCGTTAATGTACATATCATATTTTAGATACATGTGCATTTTAGTACTATACGCTTTTATATATTACGTAATGTATATTACGCCTGCATGTCGTTACAGTAATCCCACACGAAGGCAAACATAGACTAGATTAGTTCGTTTTGCTAAAACAAAGTTTGTTTACTTTTATCAACATAAGACGGTACTTACGTATTGAGATTAAGTCAGTTTTAGGAATAACTTTTGCAATTAGTTCCATGGTTGAGATAGAATTATACTTCCAAAGCGACACTACAAGTTTTTAAGAATTAGAATTTTAAAGATAAAGCTATAAATAAAATAACGGTGCTATAAAGCTTTTTGGATGATACTGACTTGTAACTCCTAAAGCTAAGAGGAAAAATATGAGTGATTTGAGAAAGTTTTTTCCGCGTCTTTTGTGTTTGTGTTGAAGTTGTTTGTTATATTTTTGAACAGATTTTCCTTTAGTGCACGCAAAGTCGCGGAACTCTTTATCGTCGTGTAAGTACTCCCAGATGTTTTCGCGCAGTGGATAAGAGGAGTGTATTTCCCAATTCGGTGCCAAAACTTTGTACGTTTTCTTTCTTTCGATGAGTCGTCCTGTAGGTAATAAGTAAAAAATATAATAAATATGAGGTGTACAAAATGAAACGAACTATGTAAATTTATATTCCCTCTATTAAAATATGATATTAACGAGTAGGTATGTGGCAATCCAATTGTTTTGGTGGTTTGGTCCCGTGGGTGGGTGTGGTTGGCGGTGTAAAACCACCTCTTTACGCCAGGCGTAAAATACCTAGATAATACATCAAAAGTCTGGTACTGCCAGTGCCAATCCACTTGTTGATTGTGATCACGGAAGAGTGTCATGTTCAGGAGTGGATTTCTTACAGACTAAAGAAGAAGACGAGCCGCTCTGGAGATTGATATTTTTTCTCAACTCAAATTTGAAGTCATGTATAATATGCGTCAATCAAGTACAAACATAGATTAACAATTCGTGTAATACTAAGTAAAAATAATAGATCTTTACCTACTAAATTGAAGTTCTGCAGTAATGGCCATTTCAAATCAAAATAATATTTGTTTGACTAAGAATTTCAATTTCATTTCAAAATTCAATATCCGAGAGGCAGTACAAATAGCCTTTGAAGAATTTCAATAAACTGCCACTATGTTGGCAAAGATGCATCGATTGCGTGGGTGATTTCTTTGGTTTATAGAAATAAAAGATATAGAAAAAATACATCAAATTATTTCATAAAAACCAGCAATTTCATAGATGAAGACTTAATATATATCCTATGTCCTATCTCAATATTTTTTTTATCTAGAATTGATTTGTGAAATGCTGATAAAAGTAAACTATAGTACCATACTGATACGTCGTGTAGTGGTTGCGTAAGAGAATGTAAAACTGAAATAAGAGATGGGTTATGGCATCTTCCTGATAAAGAGTCAAATTCAATGTGTGATGACGAAGATAGATTGCCTCGTTACTAGTGAAAAAGGTCTCCGGTTCTCTACAATCACCATACGAAACGATGAGCAGCATTAAGCTGCTATTTGACGCTGGCATTGTGTCTAAGTAGCGTCAAAGGTGGAAGAAACATGGTACAGCAACTGATGCTTTGAAATCAACAATGGAAAGAGAAACCTACGACGAGTTGTGTCCAGAAATGGGATGTATACAGATTAGCAAAGTTACATTCTGTATACATCCCATTTCTGGACACAGGCCTCCTCTCATTTCTGCGACGGTTTTACGACAGGAAGTCTTTTTTAAACTATGATAATACCTAATAGCAATGCTATTTCTCGCTCTTCGTCGCAAGTAAGCTTGCTCATGTTACAGAGTAATTCAAGACAATAGATCGTATTCATAACTACCACTTATATAAATAAAATAGATGTAAATTTCCCAAAACTGTCTGACATTTAAAATGTGAATTAATTGGTGCTGTAGCAATTTATTAACATAGTTTAAGAACTTTGAATTTTTATGAGGGTGCTTTCATATAAATTTGAAGGATAAATCTATGCCTTAGCGTTTCTTAACCTTTTTCAGCCACGGACCCCTAGGAAACTAAACGCAATTATCAAGGAAAATAATAAAAATACAAATAAAAAAATGCCTTAATAAAATATACAATAATAAGTTTTGAAACATTTATTCTAGTTTAGTACTAGAATAAGATTAGAATAAATTAATTCACATTTTAAATGTCAGACAGTTTTGGGAAATTTACATCTATTTTATTTATATAAGTGGTAGTTATGAATACGATCTATTGTCTTGAATTACTCTCTAACATGAGCAAGCTTACTTGCGACGAAGAGCGAGAAATGTTGTGTTATAGATAAATAAAAAAATACATACTTACATCTTTGTAAAAAAAATTTTGTTTTCGTTATTAATTATAAATGCGTTAGTTAGCATACGATCCTTAATGTGAAGGTTGGTGTTTTTTTTGTAACTTAATTAGTGATATTCTATATATGTAATACAAAGTAGTATTCTCAAATCGGATTCCACTTGTAATTTGTTTCTTGTATTTTTACTTTTGGTGGAATTTATTTATTATTACTTACGTTTTAGTCTAGAGATGAGACTGCGGACCCCTATACATATACTCGTGGACCCCCAGGGGTCCGCGGCCCACAGGTTAAGAAACACTGCCTTATATTTCCCCAAGGGTAAAATAAACTTTTTATTAAAAAGTACAAGCCCATTTTGGTCCAGGCTCAAAAAACTAGGTGACTATGTCCATGACGCGGACGAAAGTGGGGTAGTTATTTATTAAACTTAAATTAATTGTGTAATTTTAATTAATCATTTTTTTAAAGATAAGGAATAAGGATTATTGTTTAATTTAACATCAAAGTCTTAGTAACTGACAGACAGAGTAAAAAGAAAACAAACAAACGACGTGAGAATACACAATTCTTATCGTTCTGAAATGTACCAAAGGGAGGCGATACCCGTTGCGACGGTCGTATGGACCATCTCACAAAATTCAGTCGTATGAGACTAATTTCTATAATTTCTAATTTCTATTCGAAGTTCGCTATATAAAAAAACCTGTAATACAGGTTTTTTTATACCTACATCACCAATTGAAAAAAAAATCGAATTGAAAATTCTCCGATATTTTGTGCCGAGGTAAATAAAAAAATTTACTACAAAATAGGAAATTGGAGAGCTGTGGTTAGAAGGATAATAAAAAGCTACTTATTTCAAAAACGCTATTACTAACTACTACTACTTTCATACAGTTTTTCTTTTTTTTTCAAATTCATTATAATGTATTATTTACAAAGAATAGCATATTATCATTTTTCACAAGTATGACAAACTACCGGCGACTGTTCATCGTTTTACGTGGATCGTCCATTCGACCAAGTCGTAACGCATGTGTACTTACTGAACTTACATAGCGACGGCTTGATCGACTGTCCGCACTATAGCCGCTATTTGAATGACTACATACAAATGTAGTACAACATACAAATATAGTACAACATACAAATGTAGTACAACGTACAAACTTAGTAGTGTAGATTATCTGTGAATCGAAATCGGACAAGTAGATTCAGAGGAGATAGCAATAAAAATTGCATCTGAGTCAGGGATAAGAGCGCTACGCCCGGCTTGCTACGCTCAGCAGGCTCCGCCCTAAAATAAAATGCACCGCAGTGATAAGATTTGCTTTGCTCAGCGGGTCAATAAAAACAGCGTCAAACATACAAATGCTTTGTTCACGCTAAGTTTCATCGAAATCCGACAATTATTTTCAGAGGTAACAGCAATAAAAATTGTATTGGAGTTAGAGTAAGAACGTTATTACACTATCATATGTAAATGATCGAAGATGTGATTATGATTCATAGAAATATGAAAAACCTATGAAAGTTTTGTTAGTATACGATATTATCTATGATCATATGTGCATTATCCTATTTGTCAACTTGCTGATGAAAATGATTATACATAACTTTAAAACGAAGAAAGAAAAATGGCGTCAAAATGCAAAACGGAATATTGAAATGACAAAATTGTTTTTTTTTTAATTATAAAATAAGGGTGACAAACGAGTACACAGTCCACTTAATGGTGTGTGACATCTAAATTTATCCTCTATTAAGCGTTGTCGCGTTGTCACCCACTTACCATACGAAACACAGCAGCCTTAAATTGCTATTTTATGCTGGTATTCTGTGACGGCATGATCCTACTACGATCGAGCCAACCTGTTCGTTCTGCAACTAATATAGTTGCAGCGGGCTCCTTCCTTATTACGTTATAACATAGGGTTACACTGAAAGTTCTTAGAAAATCAATAACTGAACAAACTAGAAAGTTATTAGTTTTATTATCTTTGTAAATATCTTTTCAAAATAGTGCCCATTTACATCAATACATGGCTGCATCCTATGGAAACACTGAGAAAAGCACTTTGTCCACTCGTCCTTAGGGGTCTCTTCGACGGCATTTTGAAACGCAGCCACTGCTTCCTCGGCAGCTATAAAACGTTTTCCTCAAAGTTTTTCGTTTATTTTCGGAAATAAATAAAAATCGCAAGGTGCGAGGTCGGGGCTATAGGGCGGGTGACCTACTGATTCCACGTCTTACTTCGCCAAGTAGGCGATTGTTTACTTGGCGGTGTGCGACGAGGCGTTGTCGTGGTGAAGGAGGATCCTACTGCGAGGTCGTTTCTCCCGAACTTTTTCCAAGACAAGTGGCAAACAATTAAGTGTACCACTCTGTAGTAACTGTTTTTCGATCCTCTAAAATAATTGTTGCGTAATGACCTGTCCTTCCGAAGAACGAGACCACCACCTTTTTTCCAACGCTTCGGCCTCTCTTCACTTTAGTTGTCAACTCCTTGGAAGCAAACATCTAGACAGCAGACTATCTCTTAGTTTCAGGATCATAACAATAAATCTAGCTTTCTTCACCCGTAAGTATGCAGAACATAGCATTTGAGTCACCTCCGTTAAATCTTTGAACCATTTCACGACACCATTCAACGCGACGGAGTTTATGGCACGAAGCTTCCTGACCGCTAAATGTTCCTGGAGGATTTTGTTCACTTGACTCATACCGATGTATAAGCTTGTCCGAATTCGTACGCCGTACAACACTGATGTTATCTTCAGTCGTTGCCGTAGAAGGCCGTCCCTCACGCAGATCATCGGTGAGATTAGTGCAACCACGTTTAAACTCATTAAACTAGTTGTAAACAGTGGCACGAGATGGGTCTTCATCGTGAAAGGTCAATCAAAGTCTATTATAACTTTCTTGTTGACTTAAATGACACCGAAAGTCATAAAAAATTATTGTACGAAATTTTTTTCGCATTAAATTCATGCTGACGTGACACAGACAATTTTCAATTTGCCGCCAAATCGTAAACAAATGACAAAATAAAATACATCACTGACCTCTATAGGTATATACAAGTACGCTGGACTGGCTATACCATACAAAATGACTGTGCCAATTTGAAGCGCCGCTAAAGGATGTCTTGAAAAATAAAATTGACATAATATGCCAAAGTATGTTGTCTTATTCATATTGTCATATTTAATAAATCTGTATTTTGAACTTTTAAACTAAAAAACTAAAGTATTTTATGTTATTTCATTGTGTATAATATTAGTTACATAATAAGAATTATTTTTATTAATAATGAGAGGGTGCGTAATCTGTAAAACTCGTTACCAAAAGGGAAGTGGTATTACATTTCACAAGTAAGTGAATTTGCGGTAAATACGAGTATTAAACAAATTAAAACTATTTGATAATATAAGTACTTAGAAATTTGTTACTAATCTTAATATCATGTATACCAATTACCAACATGTTCGGCTGTATATTACTGAGTTTTGATAAACAATAAAATTCAATAGGGTTGTCGAGTTCCTTGTCTATATTAATTATCGATGTTCTTTCCTACCCATATCTGTTAACAAACAAAGTCACCAACAACAGATGATTATCATAATACGCACACCACCTAATGTCATTTAATTGTACCATGCGTATAACCTTTGCACAAGTGCAACCAATAAGTTGACTAAGTTTTACCGCAATCTGATGAACGGTATGGCATCGTAGAAAGTACAAACAAACATAAATTTTATATGGTAGAAAGTATTTTACTGTCTATAGACAGACCTGTAGTTGATTAAAATGGGCGTTATTATAGCAGCTGATTTGTTTTTTATAATACTAGAACCAAATGAACGGTTGACAATAAATTATTCTATAAATTATGTTTTTATTTTTATTTTGTGTACTTAGTTTAATCTTAATATTTTTTTTAGTTGAATGGTTAAGGGCTATGATGGCTATCCGAGTACCAGAGTAGAAAACTAATCCAACTGTAGAGATGTGTAAGGCAGGGTGACGTAATGTCCCCGAAACACTTTAACGCTGCATTGGAAAACATTTTCAACCTACTGGACTGGAAAGGATACGGTATAAACGTCAATGTCGTGTACGTCACTCACCTTCGATTTGCCGACAATATAGTCCTTATGGCACAATCCTATGGAGGACCTACGCACTATGTTCAATGACCTCAATAGTGTCTCCCAACGGATAAGTCTTAAGATGGACATGGACAAAACAAAAGTCATGTGTAATGTCCATGTTACACCTATGCCGCTGGTTTTTGGGAGCACTTAGCTGAAGTTGTTGATGAGTATTTTTATTGGTACAAATAATCCGACTAGGTAAGTTCAACTTCGACCGACAGGTCAATCGACGGATTCAACTCGGATGGGCAGCGTTCAGGAGATTACAACACATCTTCTCGTCAGGAATACCTGAAAACTAGATT